TCTGTCTCTCTCTGTCTCTCTCTGTCTCTCTCTGTCTCTCTCTGTCTCTCTCTGTCTTTCTCTTCTCTGTCTTTCGCGGTTTTCCGCGGAGTATTTGCGAAATAAGGGTTGTCTGAGGTATCCCTTTTCCAGTGTAGTGTTTGCGCCCGCTTTGCCGTTATGTTTGCATGGGGGCGCCCCGATTTTTTTGGTTCTTTTACAGATATGGTATGCTTTTGGGTCGTGCTTGCCATATTTATCTTTTTAGAAATTGTTTTCCTTATTTGTTTTGTTACTATGATTGGATATATTGATGTGGTTCGATTGATTTTATAAGTTTAGAATATGTTTATATTATTTATATAAATGAATAATAGCATGTTTTTCTCCCGTAAAAATTCTAAATAAAATTATTAAGAACCCCCGAAATTTCGGGGAAACAAAAAGATCGAAACATACATAACCGCTTTTTATAAATACTATAATTCGGCCGGAATATGGTTATAATGATTTCTTATATATAAGAAATACGATTTCGAAATTATCTTGATTTATAAAATAATATATACATATATAAAACATAAAATAAAATATTTATTTTAAAAAAATATAAAATAAATATATAAATTCTTAAATATTTAAAATATATTTTAATAAAATAATATTATTAATTTGTATATTTTTTAAATTTATTATAAATACTATATATATATATATATATTTGTTAATATATTTGATATTATATTAATTAATGAAGAAGAAAGAAATGATTGGTGATTGAATATATTTGTGTTTTTTATATTTTATTTTTTTTTAGTTAAGTTTTGGCGGATGAAAGAGGTTGGGTGATATATATGGATGAGGTTAATTGTTATGATGAAGAAATTAGGAATGAGGTTATATTATTTTTTTGATTATTATTTTTATATGGGTTTTATTTTCGGAGTGGGGTGGTATAATCTTCGTGTTTAAAGTGGTGTTGGGTTGTGGGTGGGTATTTCTCGATTTTGTTTTGTGATTAATATTTTTGAATATTTCGGTGTGAATATTTGAATTGAATTGTTTATTATATTATAGATTGTTAATATTTATGTGGAAATAATTATAATAAAATTTATATTGTTTTTTTTGATTTTTTGATTATAGATGATTTAATCTTTTTTTTTAAGATTTGATCGCGGGTGGGAGGGAAGGTATGAGTGAAGAGATAGAGTTAGGTGTTTTTTGGTTTTGTTTTGTTATTAATATTTTTAAGAATATAAAAATAACTAGAAATGGAAAGGTTATTACGAAAGAAGAATGATATAAAAGAAATTAAATAATAAAAATATAAAATAAAGATAACATAAATAAGATTATAAAATAAAAGAATGATGGTAGGAAAAGAAAATAAGAATATAAATAAATAAAGAATAATAGAAGATGAAAAAGGAAAGATATAAATAATATAAGGAAAAAAACAATATAAAGAATAGAAAAAAATAAAAAACAAAAAACATATATTGGGAAAAAGGTAAAAAGAATAACAATAAATATTAAATTATATTGATAAAGAAAGAATATATATAAAGATGAAAATAATAAATTCTTAATACTAATATTTTTATTTTTATTTTTTTCTATTGACAATTATTCCAGAGAAAATAGTAATTATAAATCCTAAAGAAAGAACAAAATGAAAATGTGCTACCAACATAATATGTATTATGTAATCTTAGATTCATTACAATATTTCTTAGAATTATTTTTGTTGACCCACCTATAATAAATATTAATAAAAAGAAAAGAAAGAAAAAGATAGAACTAATTCTAAGGTATAATAAAAATGGATTGGAAAGAAATTGTATCAATTGGTAAAGGTATGAAGATTATAGGAAGAAGGATTCCATAGGAAGAAATTATATATTTTTGTAAATTCTAAAAATTAAGAAAACAAAAACACATATGAATGTAAAAAAAAATATAAGAACATTATTGATTCTAGGATATACCATTTCTAGAGATCCTTGAAAGATAGATATAAAATAATTTCCAAGTCCTTCAAACAAATCAGGCATTACTAAAAAGAAGATTATAAAAAAGACATATAATATAATTTTTATATAAAAGAAATTCTAATTTTCTGGAAATATAATTCTATTTCCTAATAAATATAATTCTATTCTCATAAGGATTAATATTAATCTATCGGAGATTCCAAAAATGAATCCAAATAAAAAATAATAAATTCCTAAGCCTTTATAATTATAATTTTTAACCAATGAATGAAATTGTATAGTAAAATAATATAATCTGCAAAAGGATTCTATCATTGATAGTGACCGATAAGAGATGGCAAGGTTAAATAGTAGGAAAGGATACAATTTAAAAATTCTAAAATTTATAATAAATAATATTAATAAAATAAAAAAACTAACCCGGCCAAAATTTCCCGAATTTTGGATCGCTTCCGGCGACACGACTCTTAGGTTTCCGAACGTTACCCCCGCAAATTTCTTCAGAATTTGATGGCTTTCCGAAAAATTGCCGGGTCAAATTTCGGGGAAATTTAGAAACCTATCCGTTTTTGCCTCTCTCTGTGTCTCCCAATCTGTTTCCATATATCCATATCTATCTATTTCGTAATCTCTGTCTTTCTCTATCTATCTTTATATATCTCTATATATCCCAATTTATTTCTTTTCCGTGTTTATACCTTTCTGTTTCTACCTATCTATCTGCATCTCTCTATCTCTCGGGTTATCTCGGTTTGTCTCTGTTTATCCCTATGTATCTGTGTCTATCGTTCGTCTCTGTTTCTTTGTATCTTTTTGTGCCTTTCTATCTATTTCCGTATGTCCGTGTCTATCTATTTATAAAGATAGCATATTTCCGCGTTACCGCATTTCCCCCTTTCAAACTCCGTTTTTTTCCTTTCGTTCTATTTTCTTTTCGTTTCATTGTTTTTGGTTAAATGCTTTCCTCTCTCTTTCTCTCTTTTTCTTTCTTTCCTTCTTTTTCTTTCTCTCTATCTTTCTCTTTTTTTCTATTTCTCTCTCTTTCTTTTTTTGTTTCCCTCTCTTTCTCTCTCTTTTTTTCTCTCTCTTTCGTTCTCTCTCTTTAAAAAAAAGAAAGAGAAGGAAAGAAAAACAAACTCTTTCTTTCTTAATACCATTTTATCGCTTGTAGGATAAGGGTTTAAGTTCGGGCATCGGCTAATAAGCATCGGCTAGTTTTGCCCGGGGCCAAAGACCCCCTTAGAGAATTATTGCCTCCTTCTCAAGCATCTCCGTTAACATCAATTCCTCTTACTATAAGTCTCTCTCTCTTTTCTCTTTTTTTCTCTTTCTTTTTCTTCTCTTTCTTGTTTTTTTTTTCTTTTTTTCTCTTTTAATTCTCGTTTTTGCTCTTTATTATCTCATTATTTTTCTTTTTCGGTTTTCCCTTTTTTATTCATTTCCTTCTATTTATTGTTTCTTTAATTTTCTCTATTTTTCTTTCTTTCCCTTATATATCTTTTATTTATTATAAAATTAGTTTAATATTTATATTATATTTATATATATATATAATACCATATATACATAAAATATAATAAATATATTTAAAATAAAACAAAAATAATTTTATATATGTTAATATATAATTATATATATATTATATATAATGTTTAAATAATATAATTTTAATAATAATAATTCTTTAAAATCGAAATACCCATAAAAATTGAGAAATACAATTTCGTTTATCTATAATTTAATGCTATTTTAGGCACGGAAATTATATTATCTCGTTTCGAAAACAAATTTCAAACCAAACATATACAAAAAAACAAAAATAACATATCGAATTTATAGGGAATATTTACCGATATAAAATATTATATATTTATTCCATTTCAAGTATAAACAATATATAATATATACCATATATTTTAATAACCTTTATAATAATAATATGATATTAAAGAATCCATATTAACTTCTAATTAACAATATATAATTAACTTAAGGAGCGGGTGAACGAAAGCTAGCAGTTGTTGCATGAGATGGGTCGGTGACAGAGTGGATTCATAGGTAGCTTGTGTACAACGAGAGGCCCGGCAAGATTCGTAGGATGCGTCACGCAAACGCACATGGTGGCGTGGCAAACCTTGAAAAATGAAAACAACGAGAGGCGTCAGAAGCTGTCTTAAAGCACCTGTGGGTTCTGCATGCAGCGTGTGCAAAGATTCTTGCGAGGTGGTTTACCGAGAAGACTGAGGTCTCAAGTGAACAAGCTGAATCGGTGGAACATGTAAAAGTTCGTAGCACCAAGTCCAAAACGGGCAAACCGAGACTGCTGAACACTGAGCCACTGCCCGGGGGGGGGGGGGGGATGGACCAGGGAGGAATCGAGCCTGAGACCTGGGGGGGGGTCTAAATAATTGATATTTTTCAATCTTTTCGGCTCAAATAATTGAAAAAATCAATCTTTCGGCATTTGAGCCCCTTACCTTGCTTACGCAAGGAGAAACTTCAGCTAGCTAAAGCTAGCTTTCGTGATAATATTTCCGATTCGAAAATCAATATGACGCTACCGAAATCACCCTTCGCAAAATATTCCAGGAAGCCGTCTGTTGCCTAAAAATTCTAATGAGAAAACGGGACCGCAACCCTCTCCCGCCCCAAGGCGCATACGCCAGCTTTTGGGATTATGCTTTGATTCTTACTATTCAGATTTTGGACGTTTGCCCCAAAATACTTGGCATCTTACGCCCCGCGGTCCCACACTTCCACATGTGCCATGAAACGATACGTTGCTTCACTTATACATTACATATAATATGATGCATTGCAGCGTTCTGGATTTTTTTGCAGGAGAGCCACATCGGCATCTTAAACATTTTGTTAACCTTTGAAGCAAATAGAAAGCGGGAAGTCCGATCTTGTGGGAAACTAGATGATTTGGTCTCGTATTTCGATGGGATTTGATGCGTTCGTTTCTCCTCCTCATTTCGTCTTCTTCTTCTTGGACGGCGGCTCAGCAGCCGCCTCCAAAGG